AACTCCGTGAGATAAATGTAATACTATTACTATTACTACTAGCTCAAGACAATGCACACTGCTCGTCAAAACGTATCAACTCGTCAATGATGTATCAGCTGCAATACTTCCCTTCGTGTAACAGAAGATTTGTCGACGAAATACAGCTTACAAATGTGTATATTTGAACACAGTTACAAATTAGCTTGAACACGTGAAATTCTATTTCATTGTAATGCACGTTTCCTGTTTCAGTTTGTAAAGTAAAATGCTTCCCTGGAGAGTTATGGGCAAAAAACCGTTTTGGTCACGTGACAGGCTAGTAAAACACGAATTCGATTGTTTATTTTGGGCTCGGGTTAGGGTTAGAGTTGTGGTAAGGGTTATGAATAGCTTCGGGGTTAGCCTTAGGGTTAGGGTTAGGGTTGGGATTTGGGTTTTGTAAAACCGTTTTGTGCGGCTGCAAAACCATAAAAACCAAAGTCACGTGAAATTTTTGGGCGAGCGAATATTAGTAAAAGACAACTATTTGACGGATGATACTCGTATAAATTTCTTCGAAGTAGCGCACGCCGCTTTCTTCTCAAAATACTAGCCCGAGGCAAGTGCTCCAGCTCACGGCTGTTCAGAAGGCCGATTTCTGCGATCTTTTAATCATGGATACTGATAGGATTTTTTTCGGATTTATCCTATGGCTATAGTATTTTGTTACGATTTATTACATTTTACCTCGCTTTTAAAAAGATCACAAAAAATGTTTACAATTTTTTGAAAAAATTTAGTCCGTGAAAAACTTGTCCGCGAACATTTTTTCCGATAAATGAGTTATGCTTTGTCAAAGTGGATGCTTTTAAAAATGAAACCGAAAGTCTTTAAACTTTGTATTGGTTTTATGTATAAGTATCGATTCGCATGACTTGTGACAAAATACCCAATTAGAGTTAGTACAAGCCAAACACAAGGATATCTCGTGTCACAGATCATATGCACCTGTTGCAGCCAGTCGCCAAGACCATGGTCGCTATAAGCAAAGGTAGGTGTAAAAGTCGCGTAATTTGATGAAATTCGTTGATTTTTGTCGTATTATTCTGTCATATCTTCGGCTCCTCGAATGAGATCATTCTGAAAATTTGTGAGGACCTTCCAATAGGGCTTTCACAACTGTATGAAAAATTTGGTGGATATCAGAGTTGATATAGTGATTACAATGGGGCAAAATGGGACAAAATACGCTGCTTTTAGCTGTAACATAATGTCTGATGATTGGATATGCTAAAAAATGTTCGGACAGTTTCCTTGGAAGTCTAAAAGTAAGCTAACTAATTTTTGTTAAAATTGGATCGAGGGAAGATTACTCAATCCGCATTTGTTTCAAGAATTTTGTGCTGGCCAAAATTAGCGCTAAAAACAATCCTACAGTCGGCATGCGCGGCTCACTGTCGATGGCGCACTACTTATTATATTTATAAGGACTTTCAGTGATATCCTTACTCTTATAGAACCAATTGTAACGGCTACCTTGATGCTTGAGTAGTTTACACTCTACAAGTACATAAACATTGGCATATATTTATTGGTTTTATTATAAAACAAGGTACGATGAATGTTGTTTTGTTTAAAGTGGGCAATAGAGACGAGTTGACGTCTCCTAATCATCATTGGATGATGGTTATATTTTTTTTATACATCTCACGGCTTAACCACCCTCTATCCTTTCGCTATACCTTATCTTAAAAGCCGCGCACCATCAAATATGGCACCTAGGCGAAACTCACCGATCATTCCAAAAAGAGATCCCCGGAAGCACATGTGAGATCCCCGGAAGCATGTGTAGCAAACGAATATCGAATAAGGGTGGCTCTTCAGCATCCAATTCAACAACATATGATTCGTTGCAGTCACCGCAGGAAGTTGGAAGAAGTGAAGAGATACCAAATATTGTGGTCTTTTCTAAATATAACTGTAATACATTGATGTAAAGTTTATTTGAATTTTGAAATAAATAGCTCCTTAGGCTAGTTAGATTAGCTATAAATACTAAGCAGAGCTTACTTTTAGATTAGCCCTTCCAGACGATCTCGAAGGTTCCTCCCAGCTCGCCAGAACGGAACTCGATGGTCCACTTCGAATCTGTACTCATACACATAATATTATAAGTTAAACTTAACTTGTGTTAATATTTTACCATACTACACGTAATCAAACAAATAAACCCTGTTTACAATGAGATAACATCACGTGATGGAATCACGTGTTTTGATAACAAAGCTAGAGAACTAAGGGTAAGGAGCACACTGCTTTTCATGTGTTTTATAGACTAGCCAGGAGTTCGTAGGATAATGACTTGCTAGTTGGTTTGTGTGTACATAGTAGGTCTGTGATGCTTCTAGTGATAATACAAAATTTTTAAAATTATTATATAAGAACTATTATAAGAGTTATATTTATAAAGAACAAATTTTATGCAAGATGGACAAGGAGAGTAACTTATATATTGAGGCACTTTCCTTGTTCATCGAGAATGACTCGGACCGAAATCTGGTTCAACATTTTTCTAGAAACTACTTTTGTTCATGTTTCATGCTGCTACTCTGATTATTATGAGCCGAAAATATTTGTTCGGTCTTCTCAAGTCCGTACCTACATTCGGAAGGCTGTGGATGTAATTGGTTCCATATAATTATAAAGAACGTGATATTTGGCCCTCGGATTGAAAGGAGAATGCGAAAATTTGGCATGGTATAAAGTCTATAAACCATCAAACATCCTGAGCAATAGCTCAGGATGTTTGATGGTTTATACCAACAACCCTGCTAGCTAACGGTCAGAGATTTAGTCTTATGGCAGCCTCAGCATGGTAGAGCACAGCAAGGCTGACCAAGACATAGCTAATTTTCTATGTTGATGAAGAAAGTTGGGACCAACTCGTTTTAGTTTTACACGTGACATGTGACTTCAACACGTGAATACAACACGTGATTGAAATCACGTGGAGTCAACATATGCTTACCTTTTCTGAACCTTCGGAGTCCATCTGCCCTTAATAGCTTAAAGTTAATGATGATCTTTATTTCTAACACCTACACGAAAAGACAGTAACTAGTACCTTGGACAATCGATATTCAGGATCACAAAAACACAGTCCACACTTATAGACTATAGACTTATAGAGTCTGACGAACTTTGTTTTATTGAGCCGTACTGTCTACCCTTTTAGGAAACTTCCACCGAAGTATCCACCATCGGTTGTACTGTCCTATTCCATACTGTCCTGAAATTCACAATTCAACAAAATAATTTTCAGTACGTTGTTTTAAATTTATAGTAATTAGCATGTCGTCAGTAAATATTATCATACAACAATGTATTGAAAATTATGATGCTGAATTATAATTCTTAAATATTATTAACAGACTCACTATTTCTTTTATTTTCTTACACCGCTTAAAAATTAGAATTATAATCTCCTAAAGCCGCTCACATTATAGGCCGTGTGCTATCGACAATGAGCCGCGCAAACTGACTGTAAGATGGTTTTTTAACGCTAATTTCAGCCAGCAAAATAGTGAATAGAATTACATATTTTGTAAACTTCCCTCAGTCTAATCTTAACAACATTTTTGAAAAAAGAAGCTTTTCGAAAAATGTGGAGCATATATACAATCATCAGACATTAAGTTATTGCTCAAATTAGCTGCTGTTTTGGCTCCAAAAACCGCGCATCATTAAATATGGCACTATGACGGAACTCGCTGATCATTCCAAATAAGTATAACAAATTTGATGGTACACAATTTTTTTAAATCCGACTAAGTTTAATTTTATCTCCTACTCACAACTCAGGCAGGACAATTATAGCCATATAACTGAAACCGGGGGACTCAGTGTTATTTGCTGAACTGTTCCCGAGTACACTTACATTGTGAGACACGATGCAAAAACATTATTTTAGTACGTTGTTTTACAAAAATAGCATAACTACAGTAAATTTGACAGGCAGGACAGCGAGCTACTTCGTCATCATAGTTGTTGAGTGCTTATGGATCTACCTCAAGGTTTCTCAGTAGACCAAACAGATAGTTGTTACTGTAGATAGGTTCCGACAAAATAGTAACCATAATAAAAGTATAAAGATAGTAAAAGAGGGACCGAAGAGTGTTCCTGTATGTTGGGTGTTCTTCTCTTCTTCTTTATTGAGGGTGGGGTGGATATCCAAAACAACGTGCCGGGCACTCGCTATCGTGTAATTTTCATTATACATGTACTGCATAAATGCAAAAAGAATTGAGTGATATATATAATCATGTGTTTATACACTCATTCGGTGTCCGAATACGGGAAAGTTAATCATCATGAAAATTTGTCAATCTTAGGCATCATGAAGAAGTGTCTGTTTAGAGTATGCTGCGAGCTTAACACTAATCAGTTAGTCAGTCCAATCATCCAGGCACCAAGTTGTAACGTTACAACTAGGCAACTTTTTGAACATCCTTTGCAGTTTTTTTATATTTTGTACTTTTTAATTCAATTTCAAACTCTTGTGCTGCAGGTTCATGATTTCTCAGCGTATGTTTGCCTATATCATAGAACATACAATCCTGCATGGTGTGCTTGTGGGCGATTCAGTTTCACAGGCGACCAAAAATCTATATTGGAATAATACCATAATAATATCGTGATATTTTCTATTTTCGAAAATATGTTTTCCGATTACAAAAAGAAATTTGACGCTGTGAAAATACTAACAGACGGAGAAAATAATTCTTTAAATTCGTAGAATACCGGGCCCGACGTCAAGTTCACTACAGTTGCGTTAACGTGACCAATTTGCTTTTGATAAAGGCCCTGAATCTGATGAATAACGATGGACTAGTCTTAGTAAGCCGAGCTTTGGAACATGTGTAGGCGTGAAAGGGCGTCAGATAAATTTAAAAAATGAGAAACATACGAGTATTTAACTTGCTCGAGCACTTTTTAAAATTAAAAGGTTAAAATCGGGGTATCGCGCAAACGGCAAAGCTGACCAAATAATGAACTAAACATGTAATTCAACAGTCATGGCTGTAACTACAGTAGTGCTCCTCGCTTTATTTGTGGCCCTGTTTGCTCCCGGCACAGCCAACAGTGAGGTGAGAGTTTAAATCAGTTTATGAATTTATTTCAACCAAAAACGAATCAGTGATATCATTTTTGTTTTTTTAAATCCATTATCCGTATCGGTATCTTTGTTATTTCAAAGTTATAATTTATGATAATTGCTTTAAAGATTTTAATCTTATCTGGAGTTTCTTTTAGAAATTAGTCACGATTTTTAAAAATACGCACATCCCGAATCCGACATACCTTGGCATAATGATGATCGTTGATTTTTTTCAGACGGAAGTAGCAGACCCCGAAAACGTAGCAAAAGCAGAACTAGTAAAGAAAGAGGTAAGAGTTTCAATTAAAATAAACTTTATCATCTGTTCAACACTAAATTAGTTTAACAGTTGAAAATAAAAACGTTGCACACGTGGGGATACGCCCAAATTGATGGAAAATTGTTCAAATGACTAAATATTGCAATTTTCACGATTTTTTCCTTTTCACCCTTTTGAAAAAAGGCAATAGTGAAAGGTTACGAATGGACGTTTTTGCAGAAAAACGTGGATTTTGGAGATAGCGTAATAAGCCCAACTTGAATGTGGCACGCGTAGTCTACTGATGTTTCAATATTATTATTATAAGGTGAGCTGATTAGAGCTTATATTAATAGTTATAGTGAAATGGAAATCTAGCGTCCGCCAAAACGAAACAACGGGCGCAATTCTTGTTATCAACTTTGGAGTCCCGTTTTAATGTAAGCTCTTATTGAAATCTTTTGAAACTTTGCATGCTTATTAAACTACATATAAAATACCAACATACAAAAATGTACGGGGATTCAATATTGAATGCGCACGCAACGTCCGCTCAAAATTTGCACGTGCGAAAGGTGAGAAATTTGCTCATTTTTGATTTCTATTCTGCTTTCCCACGACAGTAACATGGCATTGTTATACAGGGTGGGCCAAATGTCAGTACCCATACGTTGGCCTTATCAGCTCAGTCACTGAGTGCCCAATTGAAATAATTCTTTCTGGTATGACTTACTTAAAAAGGAAAAACTGCGGGACAAATCTAAAAGATCAGGCCTAGCAGAGGACTATGAAAAGTTCTCGCAATGTAGAAGAGATTTTCAAAATTTGGTCGACCAAAAATTTATCTCCAATTTTAATGATGATAATGATCCAGCTCTCATATCAAAGAAATTCTGGGCACATGTAAAATCGACGTCAAAATCTACTCGCATACCAGGTACAGTAAACTATAACGGCATATTTAGAAACAATCCCTTAGACCAAGCTGAAATGTTCAATGAATATTTTGCCGAACAGTTTTCTGAAGCGAGTAACTGTGATATTGATTTTGACTACAGTAATGATTCTGTAGACGACATTGAGTTCAGTACCAGCAGAATCCGAAAAATTCTAAAAGACGTCAATGTTAATAAAGCTGCTGGTCCAGATGGTATCCATGGCAAAATTTTAAAGAACTGTAGAGATAGTATTGCATATCCACTCTCAAGCCTTTTTAAAATTTCATATAACATAGGTCAGATACCAATTACCATCTGAGTGGAAATTGGCTAACGTAGTACCTGTGCATAAGAAAGGCCCCAAAACTCTAGTTGAAAATTATTGGCCAATCTCTCTCACCAGCCTTGTAATCAAAATTTTTGAGAAAATTGTGAGAGATGAACTGTTGGCAAAATGCCAGCATAAAATACATGACAACCAACATGGTTTTCTTCCTCAGAGGTCTTGTACTACACAAATAGTCGGGTATATAGACTGTCTCTTTCTGTCTATCAACGATAATGTCAGAACTGATGTGGTATACTTTGACTTTGCCAAGGCCTTTGACTCAGTTAACCATGATGTCATCATAAAGAAATTAAAATCGGAATTTGAAATTAATGGTACACTGTCGAAGTTCATTATGAACTATCTCAAAGACCTCAAACATTGTGTTATAATTGGGGGATCCCACTCAGAACTTAAGAATGTTGAATCAGGGGTTCCCCAAGGCTCCATTTTAGGACCTCTGTTCTTTGTACTCTTTATTAACGACATGTCAGAATGCGTAAGTGAAGGTACAAAGATAGCCCTATACGCTGATGACACCAAAATATGGCGTAAAATCACGGGCTGGAGAGACCATGAGATCCTACAAGCAGACATAGACGCCCTGCATTGCTGGGCAGTAAGAAACAAAATGAAGTTTCACCCAAATAAATGCAAGGTGCTCTCTATATCTAGCAAAATGAGCGAAAAGGGAATTTTGAGTTTTTCCCCCTTCCAGCTCTTTGTCTACACCCTAGATGGAATGGCACTAGATTTCGTCCAAAGCGAGAAAGACCTCGGGGTTTTTGTTAGAACAGACCTTAAGTGGGAGGAGAACATAGTCGCCCTCTGTACGAAAGCTAGTTCACGTCTGGGTCTAATGAAAAGAACTCTACGGTTTATTAAGGACCGTAAACAAAAAAGGGCATTCTATCTAGCGCTGGTTAGAAGCCCTTTCGAAAATTGCAGTGTTGTCTGGAGACCAACAAGTGTAGTTCTTAATAACAAAGTTGAAAACATCCAGCGCAGAGCAGTTAAATGGATCCTTGGCGAACATGATCATCACTATAATGACATAAAATATTTGGCTCGGTTAAGAGATCTAGACATGTTGCCAATGGAGCTGAAGTTTGAATACACAGACCTTCTATTATTTCAGCAGATATACAATGGCCAATCTGTACTGAAGCTCCCATCCTATTTAACCCCGATAACAACCAGTGAACAGGGTAGATTGCGTTCAAATATAAGGAAACCCTCGAGATATAATGAAGCTGATACATCTCAAATGCCTGATATCAACCAGAGGCGACAGAACAGACACGACAACTTCTCCCTGAAATGTACTGTGCAAGCAAAGGCACACCCCTTTAAGAGAAGCTTCTTCTTCAGAACACACAGTGTCTGGAATGATCTACCGACTGACCTTAAAGAGATAAGTGATGCCGGAACTTTCAAGGCAAACCTGGCAAAACACTTATAGTTCTGGGACAAAATGACAAACCCCGACTAATAAGTCCTTACTGGGCCGCGCTCAGCCTGTCATTCCGCCGAATTATGAACATAACAGCCTGAGGTCCCCAGGTAACTAAGTCCAGGAATGCAAATGATATTTACAGGTGGGCCCCCGCCACTGATAGATCGGTCACGATGCTGAATATAACAATATAACAAGTATAATAGAACTATATCTATTAAATCACATTTACATTCTGTCGCCAGGATGTGGCCCTCGCGTGGTCCTCAGTGAATATACGAAATTGGATTACGCGAAATTAAATCAGTATCTAGCCATGCTTTTCAGCGCTGTGTTACGAATTCCGCGCAATTATGCATTATTGCTCATTACTGCCACATCTTCGGTCGCATCGTGGTGACATTATCTATCATTATATTATTTATTTTGACAATTCTATTTTTGTGTGTTCTAGATTAATTTTGTGTGTTTAGATGGAGGTGGTGTTAGTGAGTCTGGGGGTAGAAATATTATTTGTAATACGTATATCCCCAGAACTTGTACCACTTACCCATGCTTTTAGTATTTCTACAATATGGTCTACGACTTTTACACAGCATAATACCCCATGATGTCGTTTATTTTAAATTCTCTTTGCTGTATTGTATATGTACTATTTGTAAAAGTTTCAAATCAAATCAAATCAAAACTATACCACCACTGGTTCGAGGAATTTGTCAAATCGAAAAATATTCGAGTTCATTTTTTTCAAATTAACGTTCATTTTTGCATTTATTTGATAGTTTTGATAGCCGGATTGAGCTAAATTTTATTGAATTGTGTTCGGCCATTCAAATTACGTTTGTCCTGAAAAAAAATTAGAACTATAGCTTCTCAGATAACCGAGATATGAAGCATAACGAGTTTATTCATTACGTGTGATCAGGTGATTGGTTTACCTAATCACGTGATTAGGTCACCCCGTTAACCACCCCATTGAACATTATGGGAATTGTTAAGGCTGCCCAATTAAGGTGTCGTGTCAAGGTGTCACATAATCAACCAGTCAATTTTGTTAACGAGATACAGAAAATGCTTGATAACTTTGTCATTTCTCATCCGTTTTGCCATGTTATCAGATCATTTGCAACATTTAATAATCATGTTCAGATAACACAATATAGGTGTTTTAATATTGAATAGGCGTGGTCTAAAATTTTCGAATTTTCAAATTTTGACGACGGAATCCTCGATCCAGTAAATACAGTATCAGAGGTCAACCGGGATCGGAATTTTCAATAAAGGGGAATTCGTAAGCCGTGATAATGGGAAAAGCGAGCGAGCAATTTCATTCTCGGTATCATTTTGCATTTGTAAACGGTTATTCAAATTAATATCATTTACTTTTGTTTGGGAAAGAGTCCACTCTACCCATGATTATTAAATTGATTTATATGATGATTTTGATATCTTAATCTGTTATATAAAAGTATAAAGTGCAACAAATAATCCTCACCACTTTCAGAACCACCACATCAGAATTTCATTACATCTATTATAATAGGAGTCCTAAAATCAGAAGTGTTTCTGGTTTCTAATATGCTTTACACTTCCTCCTTTACACTACCAAGGAGGTGTCATCAATAGATTGAGGCACAAGCAATAGAGTTTTATTTGATCGTGGAATCTAGACCATGCTCAACCATGAGTCATAGACCAAAATACAATATGTATAACAACTCACATGTTGGCAAGAACTTTTATATTCTATAATCGTGGAACTTTATATTTTAATCAAAATAATGTGACCATATCTTATCTTAAAACATTACAGTGATAGTAATATAATAACGTATATTTTAAAGTTATTACAGTGATTTATATGATGATTTAATATTTTTGATCTTAGTCTATTCTATGAAATACCAGCAACAAATAATGCTCACCACTTTCAGAACACACTACTAGAGACGAGAGGAAAGAGAAACAAAAATAAAAAAGATAAGGCCGGTCCAAGAAAAAACAGAAAAAACAGAAAGAGAAAGCCACTACCGGAGGAAGATCCGGTAAGGGTTACATTTCATTACATTTATAGGAGTCCTAAAAGTAAAACCAGAACGGTTTCTGGCTTACAATGTGATCTTAATATGCTTCACATGTCATCCTTTATACTTTTATATTACTAAGAAGGTATCATTAATAGATTATTAGGCACAACCAATTGAATTTAGGTGGATCTATAGACCATTCGAGTACTGATCAACCAGCTGCATTGACAAAAATATCAGTATCAGTATCAAATCACATCACGCTTTGGCTCCAATTTTATATTTTATCTATGGAAATGATTTTATGGATTATAAGAAGTGAATGTTCTCATCATACAAAACATTATTACCATGTTTTATCCTAAAATTTCGCAAGAGTAGTAATAACGTGTATTTTCAAGTTATTTTATTGATTAATATGATAATTTTGATATCTTAATCTATTATATAAAGTGTGATAACAACAAATAATCCTCAACACTTTCAGAACACATTCCTTGAACATGTAGCCGATTGCTTTTTCGAACCAGGAGATCGCATAGAGAGTGACATTTTTAATCTTTCCGGAGAAGAAGAACTAGAGACGAGAGGGAGGAGGGGAAACAATAAGAAAAATAAATCTGCTCCAAAAAAAAACAGAAAAAACAGAAGGAGAAAGCCAGTACCGGAGGAAGATCCGGTAAGGGTTACATTGCATTACATCTATAGGAGTCCTAAAAGTAAAACCAGAACGGTTTCTGGCTTACAATATGATCTTAATATGCTTCACACGTCATCCTTTATACTTTTATATTACTAAGAAGGTATCATTAATAGATTATTAGGCACAACCAATTGAATTTAAGTGGATCTCTAGACCATTCGAGTACTGATTAACCAGCCATTGACCAAAATATTAGTATCAGTATCAAATCACGCTTTGGCTCCAATTTTATATTTTATCTATGGAAATGATTTTATAGATTTTAAGAAGTGAATGCTCTCATCATACAAAACATTATTACCATGTTTTATCCTATCAATCCTATTTTTGCTCTATCAAGTTCTTAGAGGTTTGCGAAAGGTGTTGTTCTTTAACCTTCCGGGGACGCTTTCCAAGCACTTCCATCGAGACGTCAGTGACTGTCTGCTTGAAATTATCCCACATGTCCTCAAGGTTGACCTCATTAACCAGACAATCAAAACGGTTCTGAAGAGCCACGTTGTACTCTTGAACCTTAGACGAGTTTCGCAAATGTTCGATAGCAGGCACATCGTGCCTTTTAGCAGTGATCTTAGCTACCGACTGCAGTTTGATTTGCAGCCGTCCACGAACAAGATAGTGATCTGAACCAATGTCCGCCCCACGACATACCTTAACATTGAGTAGCGAGTGTTGGAATCGTCCACTAATACAAATATGATCTATTTGATTAACAGTTAACCCGTTGGGAGACCGCCATGTACCCTTGTTGTCTCTATGCTGAAACAGAGTTCCACCAATAACAAGTTGATTAGCTGCACAGAAATCCATGAGCCTGGTCCCATTGTCGCTTGATGAACTATAGAGAGATTCTCCACCAATAACTCCCTCGAACAATTTCGCAAGGGTAGTAATAACGTATGTTTTCAAGTTATTTCATTGATTAATATGATAATTTTGATATCGTAATCTGTTATATAAAGTGTGATAACAACCAATAATCCTCAACACTTTCAGAACACAATCGTTGACCATGCAGCCGATTTCATTGGAACCGGTGCAAATGCCGTTGCTGATTTAGCGAATGGCATTTTAGGTGGTATTTTCGGAGAAGAAGAACTAGAGACGAGAGGGAGGAGGGGAAACAATAAGAAAAATAAATCTGCTCCAAAAAAAAACAGAAAAAACAGAAGGAGAAAGCCAGTACCGGAGGAAGATCCGGTAAGGGTTACATTGCATTACATCTATAGGAGTCATAAAAGTAAAACCAAAACGGTTTCTGGCTTACAATATGATCTTAATATGCTTCGCACGTCATCCTTTATACTTTTATATTACTAAGAAGGTATCATTAATAGATTATTAGGCACAACCAATTGAATTTAAGTGGATCTCTAGACCATTCGAGTACTGATTAACCAGCCATTGACCAAAATATCAGTATCAGTATCAAATCACGCTTTGGCTCCAATTTTATATTTTATCTATGGAAATGATTTTATGGATTTTAAGAAGTGAATGCTCTCATCATACAAAACATTATTACCATGTTTTATCCTATCAATCCTATTTTTGCTCTATCAAGTTCTTAGAGGTTTGCGAAAGGTGTTGTTCTTTAACCTTCCGGGGACGCTTTCCAAGCACTTCCATCGAGACGTCAGTGACTGTCTGCTTGAAATTATCCCACATGTCCTCAAGGTTGACCTCATTAACCAGACAATCAAAACGGTTCTGAAGAGCCACGTTGTACTCTTGAACCTTAGACGAGTTTCGCAAATGTTCGATAGCAGGCACATCGTGCCTTTTAGCAGTGATCTTAGCTACCGACTGCAGTTTGATTTGCAGCCGTACACGAACAAGATAGTGATCTGAACCAATTTCCGCCCCACGACATACCTTAACATTGAATAGCGAGTGTTGGAATCGTCCACTAATACAAATATGATCTATTTGATTAACAGTTAACCCGTTGGGAGACCGCCATGTACCCTTAAGTTGTCTCTATGCTGGAACAGAGTTCCACCAATAACAAGTTGATTAGCTGTACAGATATCCATGAGCCTGGTCCCATTGTCGCTTGATGAACTATGGAGAGATTCTCCACCAATAACTCCCTCGAACAATTTCGCAAGAGTAGTAATAACGAATATTTTCAAGTTATTTCATTGATTAATATGATAATTTTGATATCTTAATCTGTTATATAAAGTGTGATAACAACAAATAATCCTCAACACTTTCAGAACACAATCGTTGACCATGCAGCCGATTTCATTGGAACCGGAGCAAATGCCGTTGCTGATTTAGCGAATGGCATTTTAGGTGGTATTTTCGGAGAAGAAGAACTAGAGACGAGAGGGAGGAGGGGAAACAATAAGAAAAATAAATCTGCTCCAAAAAAAAACAGAAAAAACAGAAGGAGAAAGCCAGTACCGGAGGAAGATCCGGTAAGGGTTACATTGCATTACATCTATAGGAGTCATAAAAGTAAAACCAAAACGGTTTCTGGCCTACAATATGATCTTAATATGCTTCACACGTCATCCTTTATACTTTTATATTACTAAGAAGGTATCATTAATAGATTATTAGGCACAACCAATTGAATTTAAGTGGATCTCTAGACCATTCGAGTACTGATTAACCAGCCATTGACCAAAATATCAGTATCAGTATCAAATCACGCTTTGGCTCCAATTTTATATTTTATCTATGGAAATGATTTTATGGATTTTAAGAAGTGAATGCTCTCATCATACAAAACATTATTACCATGTTTTATCCTATCAATCCTATTTTTGCTCTATCAAGTTCTTAGAGGTTTGCGAAAGGTGTTGTTCTTTAACCTTCCGGGGACGCTTTCCAAGCACTTCCATCGAGACGTCAGTGACTGTCTGCTTGAAATTATCCCACATGTCCTCAAGGTTGACCTCATTAACCAGACAATCAAAACGGTTCTGAAGAGCCACGTTGTACTCTTGAACCTTAGACGAGTTTCGCAAATGTTCGATAGCAGGCACATCGTGCCTTTTAGCAGTGATCTTAGCTACCGACTGCAGTTTGATTTGCAGCCGTCCACGAACAAGATAGTGATCTGAACCAATGTCCGCCCCACTACATACCTTAACATTGAGTAGCGAGTGTTGGAATCGTCCATTAATACAAATATGATCTATTTGATTAACAGTTAACCCGTTGGGAGACCGCCATGTACCCTTGTTGTCTCTATGCTAAAACAGAGTTCCACCAATAACAAGTTGATTAGCTGCACAGAAATCCATGAGCCTGGTCCCATTGTCGCTTGATGAACTATAGAGAGATTTTCCACCAATAACTCCCTCGAACAATTTCGCAAGGGTAGTAATAACGTATGTTTTCAAGTTATTTCATTGATTAATATGATAATTTTGATATCTTAATCTGTTATATAAAGTGTGATAACAACAAATAATCCTCAACACTTTCAGAACACAATCGTTGACCATGCAGCCGATTTCATTGGAAACAGTGCAAATGCCGTTGCTGATGTAGCGAATGGCATTTTAGGTATTTTCGGAGAAGAAGAACTAGAGACGAGAGGGAGGAGGGGAAACAATAAGAAAAATAAATCTGCTCCAAAAAAAAACAGAAAAAACAGAAGGAGAAAGCCAGTACCGGAGGAAGATCCGGTAAGGGTTACATTGCATTACATCTATAGGAGTCCTAAAAGTAAAACCAGAACGGTTTCTGGCTTACAATATGATCTTAATATGCTTCACACGTCATCCTTTATACTTTTATATTACTAAGAAGGTATCATTAATAGATTATTAGGCACAACCAATTGAATTTAAGTGGATCTCTAGACCATTCGAGTACTGATTAACCAGCCATTGACCAAAATATCAGTATCAGTATCAAATCACGCTTTGGCTCCAATTTTATATTTTATCTATGGAAATGATTTTATTGATTTATTATTGATATTTATTATTTTATGATTTCGTATATACTTTGGGAGTCCTGGCGTGCAGCTAGCAGGAGTTGCATTCTGTGGGCACGGTGAGAAGGCCTCCATCTTTTAGTAAGAGGCCAGAAACCGTTGACCAGAACAGAGAGAGAGAGAGATTTTATAGATTTTAAGAAGTGAATGCTCTCATCATACAAAACATTATTACCATGTTTTATCCTATCAATCCTATTTTTGCTCTATCAAGTTCTTAGAGGTTTGCGAAAGGTGTTGTTCTTTAACCTTCCGGGGACGCTTTCCAAGCACTTCCATCGAGACGTCAGTGACTGTCTGCTTGAAATTATCCCACATGTCCTCAAGGTTGACCTCATTAACCAGACAATCAAAACGGTTCTGAAGAGCCACGTTGTACTCTTGAACCTTAGACGAGTTTCGCAAATGTTCGATAGCAGGCACATCGTGCCTTTTAGCAGTGATCTTAGCTACCGACTGCAGTTTGATTTGCAGCCGTCCACGAACAAGATAGTGATCTGAACCAATGTCCGCCCCACGACATACCTTAACATTGAATAGCGAGTGTTGGAATCGTCCACTAATACAAATATGATCTATTTGATTAACAGTTAACCCGTTGGGAGACCACCATGTACCCTTGTTGTCTCTATGCTGGAACAGAGTTCCACCAATAACAAGTTGATTAGCTGCACAAATATCCATGAGCCTGGTCCCATTGTCGCTTGATGAACTATGAGAGATTCTCCACCAATAACTCCCTCGAACAATTTCGCAAGAGTAGTAATAACGAATATTTTCAAGTTATTTCATTGATTAATATGATAATTTTGATATCTTAATCTGTTATATAAAGTGTGATAACAACAAATAATCCTCAACACTTTCAGAACACAATCGTTGACCATGCAGCCGATTTCATTGGAACCGGAGCAAATGCCGTTGCTGATTTAGCGAATGGCATTTTAGGTGGTATTTTCGGAGAAGAAGAACTAGAGACGAGAGGGAGGAGGGGAAACAATAAGAAAAATAAATCTGCTCCAAAAAAAAACAGAAAAAACAGAAGGAGAAAGCCAGTACCGGAGGAAGATCCGGTAAGGGTTACATTGCATTACATCTATAGGAGTCCTAAAAGTAAAACCAGAACGGTTTCTGGCTTACAATATGATCTTAATATGCTTCACACGTCATCCTTTATACTTTTATATTACTAAGAAGGTATCATTAATAGATTATTAGGCACAACCAATTGAATTTAAGTGGATCTCTAGACCATTCGAGTACTGATTAACCAGCCATTGACCAAAATATCAGTATCAGTATCAAATCACGCTTTGGCTCCAATTTTATATTTTATCTATGGAAATGATTTTATTGATTTATTATTGATATTTATTATTTTATGATTTCGTATATACTTTGGGAGTCCTGGCGTGCAGCTAGCAGGAGTTGCATTCTGTGGGCACGGTGAGAAGGCCTCCATCTTTTAGTAAGAGGCCAGAAACCGTTGACCAGAACAGAGAGAGAGAGAGATTTTATAGATTTTAAGAAGTGAATGCTCTCATCATACAAAACATTATTACCATGTTTTATCCTATCAATCCTATTTTTGCTCTATCAAGTTCTTAGAGGTTTGCGAAAGGTGTTGTTCTTTAACCTTCCGGGGACGCTTTCCAAGCACTTCCATCGAGACGTCAGTGACTGTCTGCTTGAAATTATCCCACATGTCCTCAAGGTTGACCTCATTAACCAGACAATCAAAACGGTTCTGAAGAGCCACGTTGTACTCTTGAACCTTAGACGAGTTTCGCAAATGTTCGATAGCAGGTTTTAATTCAATAAAGTGAGACAGTAACACTAGTGGATGATAGAAACATAAACTTCAAACGAGGAATACAAATCAAGTCAGACAAAGCCTCCTGGAGTTTCTGCCATCCTGTAAATGGTATATAAGATTAACAGCAGGCACATCGTGCCTTTTAGCAGTGATCTTAGCTACCGACTGCAGTTTGATTTGCAGCCGTCCACGAACAAGATAGTGATCTGAACCAATGTCCGCCCCACGACATACCTTAACATTGAATAGCGAGTGTTGGAATCGTCCACTAATACAAATATGATCTATTTGATTAACAGTTAACCCGTTGGGAGACCACCATGTACCCTTGTTGTCTCTATGCTGGAACAGAGTTCCACCAATAACAAGTTGATTAGCTGCACAAATATCCATGAGCCTGGTCCCATTGTCGCTTGATGAACTATGAAGAGATTCTCCACCAATAACTCCCTCGAACAATTTCGCAAGAGTAGTAATAACGAATATTTTCAAGTTATTTCATTGATTAATATGATAATTTTGATATCTTAATCTGTTATATAAAGTGTGATAACAACAAATAATCCTCAACACTTTCAGAACACAATCGTTGACCATGCAGCCGATTTCATTGGAACCGGAGCAAATGCCGTTGCTGATTTAGCGAATGGCATTTTAGGTGGTATTTTCGGAGAAGAAGAACTAGAGACGAGAGGGGCAGGCCGCGTAAAGGCAGGAATGGCCCTGTCGGTGTTCTCGGAGTAGAATAAATTAAGCGGTAACTATAATTACTAACTGTAGCTTTTGATATAAGTATAACTAACCGCCTTTTTAAAGATCTTAAAATCTATAAATTGGAAATGCTAAATTAAAGATCTATTGACCATGTCCATATCACATAGCCCATATTAGTTTTCGTTTAAAACCATTATAAATCCCTATATAGGGTAGGTTTCAATCATTTTTGATTTTGAAATTTTAACAAGAATTGTAAAATTATTTTTTTAGGAGGTAACGGAAAATCACCTTTACTTGGCTAATTGGACACCATTGACCATCGTGCTGATGGGATGATTCAAAAAGGACTGCATCGCGATACCGGACATTATTACAAATAATACATTAAAAACTAAACCACATTTCAAGGGCTCAAATTAACTTAAATATACATATTTTGGATGAACATAATATATATATATATCAGGTTTTTTTAAATATGGGTTCATTATTTTATCAAGCATGCCTGGCTGCAAGTTCTTTTTAATGTTTTTGAAAATATGATTTATCAACATTTGTTATTACTTTTAGCTTCATTATAACCGTAAAAATGTATAATATTGTTTCGACTATCGATCACAATTCCGTTGCTGGCGATGGCTGATCACAGAATCAAATTAGTTGGTCCTTTGTCAGTAGGGGTCGTTCACATAGTTCGTAATCACTGAAGGGGAGGGATGGGTTTCTTATATGATATATATATATATATATATATATATTACTGTTTCACTGAATGTCTCAAATATATATATATATATATATTATTCACATCTATATCAAGGTGTGTGTAAAATCTTGATATTGTATCTAAAAAGGCTGGTGTGTTATGAATTTTTAAAGTCAAAAAGCTAAAATTGTCCTTTTCAGGCTTATTTTAACAAAAAGTCAGTCAGGGAAGATCGGATTGATTTGATGCTTGACATCAAATTGTTCTCTGAATTCTGGCGCAGTTTTTTATGTCCTCAAAAATGTTTTTACTCATTTATTTTCAGATCTATTGGACCTCAAAGCCAAACAACAAATTTAGGCACATTTTTCGTTTTTAATATTTACTGATTTTTCTAAAATTTTGATAGGAATGTGCTAGTAATTTTTTGAAGGGTGCAAAATAACTGCAACTAGCACATTTATATATGAGTTATGAACAACAAAACACCCTAAAATGCTTCCCTTTGAAGTTATGGGAGGAAATGTGATTTTTTATCTGCAAAGCCAAAAAATCACATTTTCTCTCAAAATTGCACTCTTAACCAGGAAATGCTCGATTACAAAAATAGATATTCTCAAAATAATTTTTTTTGATGTGGAAACGGCCTTTGAGGTCGGGGGTCAATTGTCGTTGATGAATTTTTGAACGCTGATTCCGAATCACCCCTCATGACATAGGGTTAAGGGGACATACACCAAAACCTTTTTTGCCGGGACCCGGGATTTGACTTCATATTATGAAAGTATAGATTACAACTGTAAGATTTGAGGCATTGAAAATTTTTTTTGAGAGTACGCACATTCGAAAAAAAAATTATTTTCTTTTTCGAAAGTTTTGGAAATTTTGAGAAGTCTGTCACTGTAATACCGATATTTCAGTCATTTTAAACGTTTTTTGGCTGATTTTTTAACTGAACATTATTTACAATGCGTACAAGAAGCCCTTTAAAGGATTTTATAATTAAAGAATAGATGACGAAGTTACAGACCAAACAAGGTCGAGAGAAGCAAAATTGAAATTTTTGTAAAAATCAAAGTTGTATATTTTACCATTCACCCAGGTCATAAGATATCGCTTCACAAATTCTTGTGAGTGTAGCTGATGATCATATCCAACTTTTTGGAACAGGATTTCTCTCAATTTTGAGTTTTAAGGTATGAAATGTGGCCTCAAACGACTTAGTAAAATTCATCGTAAAAAAGGGCCAAACATGGCAGATTTAAGGCTTAAAATGCCTATAACTCAAAAAGCATCAATTTTTTTGAAATAATTTTTACAGAATCGTAATCAGCTTGAGAAGACGAATCTTTTAGTACCAAATAGGTTATTTTAGAAGACAAATTGTCTTAAATAATTTTCTAGCTTGAACACTAGGGTCCCCCCTTGTATAAATTTTGTACAAATTGTACACATTTTTTTACAAATTTTGTGTCTTAAACTATTATAAATTTGGTACTCAAAGATTCGTCTTCTCAAGCTGATTACGATTCTGTAAAAATTATTTCAAAAAAATTGATGCTTTTTGAGTTATAGGCATTTTAAGCCTTAAATCTGCCATGTTTGGCCCTTTTTTACGATGAATTTTACTAAGTCGTTTGAGGCCACATTTCATACCTTAAAACTCAAAATTGAGAGAAATCCTGTTCCAAAAAGTTGGATATGATCATCAGCTACACTCACAAGAATTTGTGAAGCGATATCTTATGACCTGGGTGAATGGTAAAATATACAACTTTGATTTTTACAAAAATTTCAATTTTGCTTCTCTCGACCTTGTTTGGTCTGTAACTTCGTCATCTATTCTTTATGCTTTAATTATAAAATCCTTTAAAGGGCTTCTTGTACGCATTGTAAATAATGTTCAGTTAAAAAATCAGCCAAAAAACGTTTAAAATGACTGAAATATCGGTATTACAGTGACAGACTTCTCAAAATTTCCAAAACTTTCGAAAAAGAAAATAATTTTTTTTTCGAATATGCGTACTCTCAAAAAAATTTTTCAATACCTCAAATCTTACAGTTGTAATCTATACTTTCATAATATAAAGTCAAATCCCGGGTCCCGGCAAAAAATGTTTTGGTGTATGTCCCCTTAAAATGCTCCCCTGACGAGATATCTTTGGTCTTAAACATAGTAGATTAGGTCCATTTAACAATTTTGATATTACATCGGTTAAAGGGCACGGATCGAGAGGATATTTGGATTCCGCAGGGGTAATGGAAGTCACTGAAATAGCTTCTTTCAGAAGATTAGGTAGGACTTCACTCAGTTGTCTCTTAATTATGTTTTCTAAAGTTTGGCTGTCCTGTTCCGGAAGGGGGACAAGTGAGGTCGGTATCGCGACAATTGACCCCCGACAACTGACCCCCGACAATTGACCCCCGACAAGTGACCCCCCGACAATTGACACCCCGACAATTGACCCCCTATGTTATTACACTGGGGTCAATTGTCTTGTAGGTTTACAACCTACCAGGACGCGCGCCGAGTTGGACTCGTCGACGGTACAGATATTTTACGAGTATCACCCGTTAATCAATTGTCGCTAAATCTAGGGTTTAGTACGACAACTGACCCCCCCCCACAATTGTCAGGGTCAGGGTCAGGGTCAGGGTCAGGGTCAGGGTCAGGGTCAGGGTCAGGGTCAGGGTCAGGGTCAGGGTCAGGGTCAGGGTCAGGGTCAGGGTCAGGGTCAGGGTCAGGGTCAGGGTCAGGGTCAGGGTCAGGGTCAGGGTCAGGGTCAGGGTCAGGGTCAGGGTCAGGGTCAGGGTCAGGGTCAGGGTCAGGGTCAGGGTCAGGGTCAGGGTCAGGGTCAGGGTCAGGGTCAGGGTCAGGGTCAGGGTCAGGGTCAGGGTCAGGGTCAGGGTCAGGGTCAGGGTCAGGGTCAGGGTCAGGGTCAGGGTCAGGGTCAGGGTCAGGGTCAGGGTCAGGGTCAGGGTCAGGGTCAGGGTCAGGGTCAGGGTCAGGGTCAGGGTCAGGGTCAGGGTCAGGGTCAGGGTCAGGGTCAGGGTCAGGGTCAGGGTCAGGGTCAGGGTTAATTGTATTAAATCATATTGTCGGGGGGTCAATTGTCGGGGGGTCAATTGTCGGGGGGTCAATTGTCGGGGGGTCAATTGTCGGGGGTCAATTGTCGGTTGGTCAATTGTCGGGGGGTCAATTGTCGCCCACCCGTGAGGTCTTTGCTCACAGGGAGACTAAAGTGCAAAGAAACTGCTGCTAACTGCTGTTAACTGCCGCTAACTGCCGCTAACCGCTGCTAACTGCTGCTAACTGCTGCTGTCGCCCGCACACCATTTGCAGCAGTTAGCAGCAGTTAGCAGCAGTTAGCAGCAGTTAGCAGCAGTCAGCAGCAGTCAGCAGCAGTTAGCAGCAGTCAGCAGCAGTCAGCAGCAGTTAGCAGCAGTTCTTTTGCACTTTAGTCTCCCTGTGTATAGACTATAGAGTCTATGTTGTTGTATAGTAATTAGCATGTTTTCAGTAGGTATTATCATACGATACAACAACGTATAGAAAATTGTGATGCTGAATTATAATTCTAAAATATTATCAATAGAGTCACTATTTCTTTTATTTTCTTACACCGCTTAGAAAATAGAATTATAACCTCCGCTCACAACTTAGGCAGGACAATTATAGCCATATTATAACTGAAACCAGGGAACTCCCTCGGTGTTATCTGCCGAACTGGGCACGCGCGCTACAGCAGCAGTTAGCAGCAGTCAGCAGCACTTAGCAGCACTTAGCAGCAGTAAGCAGCAGTTTCTTTGCACTATAGTCCTCCAGGAGGACTCCTCCTGTGTACCGATTCCACTAACATTGTGAGACACGATTCGAAAGTACTTGTGCACGTACTAGGCCTATAGGACACCAGAAACTTGACCAACAATTTTTCATAAAAGAGCACACCAAACCTATATTCAAGCATAATGATAGTCTAGCTATACAAAATCTCTATACATACCACAGCTCTACAAGATAATGAAATTCCGTGCTCCAATATCCTTACATGAGGGTTACACATGTTCGTCAAGGAAACCCTGCCTTCTAATCTGTCAGGCAGACCCACCTGACAACTACACCACTAGATCAACCAAAATTTTTAACATTTTAACCCCAAAGTTCAGAATGACTGACTTTACTACTTGTGTAATGTGCTTGCGAGGAAAGCTAAAACGTGCGCTATTAGCCAATCAACATAACCACGCCCTGCTTGATTGGACCATAAAAGATTTTGACTGCACAAATGTTATTTTCCAAACATTATAACTGGCTGGTCACACACATCTCAATTAAATTCCCTAGGCTACTGTTTTCCAAGTCTTGTCCTGTGAGTAAAGTATGTGTGAGAAAGTTTTAATAAAATAAATGTATATTTTTGAATTTTTTAAATTTAATCTGAGAATGAAGTTATAAAGAAATTTTTAATTAGCACTGTATAGTTTAAGATATTTATAGCTTATTATAACCATTGACACAAAGGCCATAATCTTTCGCTAGCTCTCCAATATCCACCATGAAGCTGCATTTTATATCCTTGAACTACACAATATAAACTTAAGCATGTTTTAGTGTAGACTTTTTGTCACAGCAAGACTGCAACCTATAGTAACAACTATTATAAACAGAACCCCTAATGTCTACTAAAAAATTTCTTCTAGTCCTAATATGAGCCTTGTCTCTAAAAACCTAACTGAACTAGCGTTTCGGTGTGTGCAAAAGCTTTCAGGCACGCGCATTCCTTGCCCCGTTAGTTACCTGTCCTTCCAAACCCAAACTAGCAGTCAAGGACAAAAAGTCATACACCAAATGGGCATTATATTTTATGAATTGTTTTACATCTTTTTATTCTGTAAAATGTGCTAAAATTAAATTTCTTGTTTCATTGAATTTCTTGTTTCATTGAAAAAGATTATTTCAGTACGTTGTTTTACAAACTGTGTCTACCGAACGTTTGTGATATACAGCTTAAGAAGGTCAATAACGGGCAAACCATGGGGCCTCTAATCTGATCCAATCCCTAACCCTGATCCAAACCCTAACCCTAACCCTAACCCTAACCCTAACCCTAACCGTAACCCAAACCCTAACCCTAACCTTAACCTTAACCCTAACCCTAACCCTAACCCTAACCCTAATCCTAACCCTAACCCTAACCCTAACCCTAACCCTAACCCTAACCCTAACCCTAACCCTAACCCTAACCCTAACCCTAACCCTAACCCTAACCCTAACCCTAACCCTAACCCTAACCCTAACCCTAACCCTAACCCTAACCCTAACCCTAACCCTAACCCTAACCCTAACCCTAACCCTAACCCTAACCCTAACCCTAACCCTAACCCTAACCCTAACCCTAACCCTAACCCTAACCCTAACCCTAACCCTAACCCTAACCCTAACCCTAACCCTAACCCTAACCCTAACCCTAACCCTAACCCTAACCCTAACCCTAACCCTAACCCTAACCCTAACCCTAACCCTAACCCTAACCCTAACCCTAACCCTAACCCTAACCCTAACCCTAACCCTAACCCTAACCCTAACCCTAACCCTAACCCTAACCCTAACCCTAACCCTAACCCTAACCCTAACCCTAACCCTAACCCTAACCCTAACCCTAACCCTAACCCTAACCCTAACCCTAACCCTAACCCTAACCCTAACCCTAACCCTAACCCTAACCCTAACCCTAACCCTAACCCTAACCCTAACCCTAACCCTAACCCTAACCCTAACCCTAACCCTAACCCTAACCCTAACCCTAACCCTAACCCTAACCCTAACCCTAACCCTAACCCTAACCCTAACCCTAACCCTAACCCTAACCCTAACCCTAACCCTAACCCTAACCCTAACCCTAACCCTAACCCTAACCCTAACCCTAACCCTAACCCTAACCCTAACCCTAACCCTAACCCTAACCCTAACCCTAACCCTAACCCTAACCCTAACCCTAACCCTAACCCTAACCCTTTAACCCTAACTCAACCCTAACTCAACCCTAACCCTAACTCAATCCCTAACTGAAGCATATGCTAAAACCCTTACCTTAAGGAGAAATTCGACCAACTTCCTTGGCCTTATAGTTATATGGTCACATAACATGATCAAGACAGTTTTTCGCCGATATCTCGTCAGGGGAGCATTTTAACCCTATGGCTATACTATGTCATGAAGGGTGATTGTTGAACTTCAGATTATTGTTGAACTTCTCTGGCTCTTTTGAACAAATTGAAACAAGAATTGGTAGAATAACTCTCGAATGGAAGTGTCTAAAAATGAAGAAAGAACAGCTATTTATATTGATATCTGGCATCACGAGAAAGGGGTTAAGGTCACGTGATGTTATGTATTTGAAGGCTGCCATGGAAACTAGCTAAAGAAGCCAGTTTAATTGTGTTTGCCAGCGAATTTTTATCAGAGCTAAATCATTTATGTGCTGGCAGCCAATGGGCTTATGACTGAACTATCACGTGAGTAGGGTCTGACCAATACTCGTACAGTTGTGATGGAACTAGCAAATGCGTGGGAGGCCAACTTAATTAGGATAAGTTTGGGCAGCTTTATATTAGGACTATTCCAGAACTTTCTGGAACAATCCAATAATGAACTGGATCATTATACTTAACATGATTCGGAATCAGCGTTCAAAAAAACATCCATCCTAGTTGGTTTCATGGGGCCCTTTTAGAAAACTCTCGAAGATCGAATGTTGAGTGATTTAGCACGCTCGAAGGACAATAGTGGGCAAACCAGGAGGCGCCTTTGGTCTCCATCTCCTGGTACTGCAGTTATTAAACAACGTAATATATATATATATATATATATATATATGTATTAAACACATACTGGGCACTCTATCGTGTTATGTTCATTAGACATATACCGCATAAATACAAAGAAGAATTGGGTGTTTTATACAATCATATAGTTATACACCCATTCGGTGTGGGAATACGGGAAAGCTCATCATGTTGATGAATCTTTCAATCTTAGGCATCATGAAGAAGAGTCTGTTTAGAGTTTGCTGCGAGCAGTTTACAGCTTCAGCTTAACACTAATTAGTTAGTCAGTACACGCTCAATCATCCAGGCAACAAGTTGTAACTTTAAAAGTTACAACTTTTTGATCATCCTTTGCATTTTGTTATATTTTGTCCTTTTTAATTCAATTTCTAACTCTTGTGCTGCAGGAATCATTGCTTAATGTACAAGATTTCTTTGCGTATTTTTCCGATATCATTGAACATTATACAGGTGACCAGAAACCTATTTTTGTAATAATATCATACTCATAGTAATGTCGTGATTTTTTATATTTTCGAAAATACGTTTTCCGATTACAAAAAATAAAATTTACGCTGTGAAAATACTAATATACGGAGAATAGAAGTATCTTAATTCATAGAATACCGCGCCCGACTTCAAGTTCACTAGTTGCGTGACCGATTTGCTTTTGATAAAGGCCATGCCTTAGGGACGGCTAATCAGTTTAAAATTTGTAATGCCCGAATCAGCGGAATTCTGTTAAAATACTTATCAGAGGAGTAACGATAGACTAGTCTTAGTGAGCCGAGCTTTGAAACATGTGTTGGCGTGAAAACGGCGTCAAATAAATTTCAAAAATGAGAACCATACGAGTAAATTTAACTTGCTCGAGCAAATAATGACTTAGACATGTAATTCAGCAGTCATGGCTGTAACGAGAGTAATGCTTTTCACTTTATTTGTGGCCCTGTTTGCTCCCGGCACAGCCAACAGTGAGGTAGGAGTTTAAACCAGTTTATGATTTTATTTCAACCAAAAAAATCGAAAACAGATCAGTGATATCAACTTTATTTTTTAATTCATTATCGGTATCGGTATCTTTGTTATTTCAGAATTATAATTTATGATAATTGCTTTAAAGTTTTTAATCTCATCTGGAGTTTCTTTTAGAAATTAGTCACGATTTTTTTAAATACGCACATCCCGAATCCGACATACCTTGGCATAATGATGATCGTTGATTTTTTTCAGACGGAAGTAGCAGACTCCAAAAACGTAGCAAAAGCAGAACTAGTAAAGAAAGAGGTAAGAGTTTCAAATTAAAATCAACTTTATCATTTAAATCAGCTTATGATTTTATTTTGCCCAACAACAAAATTACCAATTTAGTGATATTAATTTAATTTTTCTAAATTATAATTGTTACTCGCGTGTAACCACATAAGGGCGTGGTAACATAACTCATTAACCCTAAGTGTAAGGACTTTGAATCCATGTTCTACCCCTCTAAATGTGATGATTCTGACCATTTTCTCATTTTCATATCCAAGTTGATCTCCTTTCTCCAATCAGAACTGGGGATATGTGGGTTTAGATATCGCAAAAGCGTTAAAAAAGGGCGTGGTACCCATTTTGTATCGCTAGTCCCAGTCCTCAGGCGCAAATTTGGGATTTCTGTATCTCGGCTTCTAAAGCCAAAGGACTTAGAGACTTGGTTATTTCCCCTACTCTTTGCGAAGGCAAAAAGATCGCAGGGAATAAGTAATCGGGTTTGGATATATGAGGTGGCCTGATGGACCTGCGGTGATGACACAAGTCTGCTCCTTCGCGGCGAAATTATTGTTGACTTAATATAACTGCAATAGCCTTATTTATATACAAGTTATGCAATATAATGTCTCAAGTGCCTAGGTTTTAAGGAATTCATGATTAACTGTTTTTTGGCTCATCGCAGCCTGAATTTCCGGATTACTTTTATATCTCGAGCTAGATAGGTCGTAGAAACTTTTCTGATATTGAAAAGTATTCGCAATGAGCATACTTATGTTAGACTTATGAATCATTATATTATGCTCATTGCTCTAAGATATTGGCAAAAATCAGTAATTTTGGCTACACGAAATACAAATTTGGTAATTTGTTTTGTCTTTTTGTTGCAAATTTTCACGTTACAATTTTCAAAATGCGGTTTGTGGCTATCGATAGGGCTTTATAGGCCATTGTATGGTTTTGGTACAATCCTTCAGCACCTGACATAGGCAATAGTGGTCACAAACCTTGAAATTTCAGGAACTGGGCAGTAGCCGAGTTAAATATTTGATAATTAATTGGACTCTTATAACTCTTTATAACTCACATATATCTTTTCAACGGTTAGTTAGACATCTTAAAACAGTATTAAACGTGGAGTAAAACATCTGATCCATTTGTAGCTCAGGTGATGTGCCCCAGAACTTCACGCCTGTGTGACAGTGGGCCTTATTGATCATGAGCCGCAAATCACAATAACTTTGGGCCTCAGAGACAAGGTCATTCGTACTCTTGCCTTAAATTGTCTCTTCGTTAGTATCATCGATCAGGTTTCTAACTTCTATATCATCTGCCTGTCCAGTGTCCATCCGTCTATTTGAGATTCATTATTACTTTAAGTTCAGTCATTTCGCATCTTTTTTCATTCAAACCACGAATTTTAGTTGTCGAACTTTAGTACGTAAATCGTCCGATAGTTAGTGAGAAGAGAAGCAATTGGTTTACAATAGCTCAAAGCTATCAAAATAAGCCCGAAGTGATTCGACTTCGAATGAAATCTACTGGAAATCCATTCTTCACGGCCGTGAATCAAGATAGGATTTCCATCGTGGGAATAGCTACCAGAGGTATGGAACTATGATCATTATGAAGTTATGAGAAACCCCGGCACCGGGCATATCCGGCGGTTTTTAATTTACGAGCCGACTAGCTCTTAGGCAGCTATTGACAGCCTGACAGGGCGGCTCACTCAAATTTGAACGGTTAATTAGGGTTTTTATAATGTATTAACCAGATTCATTATAAATAACATTTATGTCATGATAATCAATATGCCCATCATCAGCTGGTAAGGATAGTGTGTAATAAATATGCAATAAATTGTAGATGTGCCGACTAGCTCTATGAGGCTGGTCAACAAACCAGCAGGACAATAAGAAAATGTAAAACATGCCCCGTCAATAGGTCTCAGCGAACCTTAACATTAGTTGAAATATTCTCCTTAGCAGCGCGAGGCTATTGTTAACAAAAAAAGCTTACAGTTGTGTATAACCGAATAACTTGATGAACGTGTGTATAATAAACGCTTCAAACCACTTTATATTTGCCGTACGGATGCTAATTATGGATCGCTTCCCCCTGGTTTAAAGTCCTGACTGAAGATTGATTAAAAATGGAATTGTCAACTAAGACGATAAATGGGGAAGGAATTTAAACAGGCAACTAAGAATTTTCTTCACGGGTCATGTGCTGACTATGCACCCTGTTAAAGTTCACGTGCACCCTCTCAGTTTCTCATTGATTTCAAATCCAATTAATGATAATTGCTTCATTTTTATGTCATTTTGTAACTATATAATGATGATGTTACAATGTAACGTAGCATAGGAGCATAATTCAAGTATACAGAGTGCATACAAATATTACTTCAATTATATTGCAAAATTTATCGCCGATAACCGATATTATCGCGATAATTTTTTTCAAAATTATCGATTATCACGATAACAAATTTTGTACCGATAATGGCAACACTAGTTCCTTTTTCAGCAGTCTTCCCTATCATACTGGAAGAACTAGAATGAACACCGATGCAACATTAAGACAACAATAAGACAACAATAAGACAACATTAAGACAACATTAAGACAACAATAAGACAACATTAAGACAACATTAACTCAACAAACACCAATAAGACAACAAACGATAAGACAACATTAAAGCAACAAATTCGTGGCATAACAATAGATTCACCTCCATTATCTCTGAATATTATCTTGAACCTGGGCTCTACAGGTTATCGAATGTCCACCAACCTCGTGCCCCAATTATTGTCAGCCACAGGACCTCTGGCACCTGCAACTTTGGGTCTCAGAACTTCGGGAATATCTGTCCCTCAGTGATTCTGTTCCCCACATAATTCTAATTTATGAATTAATGTAAATTGTAAATGCTGAGATGGACATTCGATAACCTGTAAAGCTAAGGTTCAAGATAATATTTAGAGATAAAGGAAGTGAATCTGTTGTTATGCCAGTATGATAGGGAAAACTACTGAAAAGGGAACTAAAAAATGAGCTAAGTTAAGCAAAAATCAGCATTACCCCAGCATCTGCAAAACTTATGTACTTCAATATTAGTAGTTGCCTCTGAGACCCAAAGCTCCTGATCGATAATGCAGCTACTGTCACTCATGTGCGAGGTTTAGGGGCACATCACCTGAGTGTTAAATCATTGGGGCACGAGGTTGGTGGATTAAGTGCTCTGGGGGCCAATACTTTGGAGCAGTAGGGCTGCAATTGTGGCGTAAGGGATTCAGTTGCTGCATGACGGTTACCAAACTTTTAAAACTTACAAACTTGCTTGCTGAACTCAATTACCTTTATAAAGTTATAAGTAGCAAAAACCAGATATTGCTCAATCTAGAGATATTGACTTTATAGCTGGACTGAAGTCCCTCATTACGCCTACAGTTGAACAGAAGCGAATTGAACTTGAAGAAATAATGAATCTCAAAGAGATGGATGGACACTGGACAGGCAGATGATATAGAAGTTAGAAACCTGATTGATGATACTAACGAAGAGACAATTTAAGCCAAGAGTACAAATGCCCTTGTCTCTGAGGCCCAAAGTCATTGTGATTTGCGGCCTATGATCGATAAAGCCCACTGTCACTCAGGTGTGAGGTTCTGGGGCACATCACCTGAGCTTCAAATGGCTCAGAAGTTTTACTCCACGTTCAATACTGATTTTATTTGTTTAACTAACCGTTGAAAAGATACATGTGAGTCAAGAGTCCAATTAATTATCAAATATTTATCTCGGCCACTGCCCAGTTCATGAGTCCTGACATTTCAAGGTTTGTGACCCCCATTGCCTATGTCAGGTGCTGAAGGATTGTATCATTATCAAAACCATACAATGGCATATAAAGCCCTATTGATAGCCACAAACCGCATCTTGAAAATTGTAACGTGAAAATTAGCAACAAAAAGACAAAACAAATTACTAAATTTGTATTGCGTGTAGCCAAAATTACCGATTTTTGCCAATATCTCTACAAATAAAACAGTTTTCGTGAATATCTTAAAACCTAGACACCTGAGACCTTATATTGCTTCATAAGGCTATTGCGGTTATTTTGAGTCAAAAATCTATCGTTGTCCTGAAACAAACCATATGATAAGATGATAGACCGGAATGGTGGCAAAATTTGGGACACAAGAAAACATTATTTAGTACTCATTAACAATAAAGGCTTGCAATTTTAACGATGATTCTTTCTTTTCTCCAAGCTCGATTGAATACTAAACATTTACCATCTACTATTTTAGTCAGATTCAAGTCCATTTGGAACGACAATTAACAGGTTATCGATTGGGCAAGTAACAAATTACAACTACGCCGGGGAAGCCAGCCTCCAAAAAAAGGAGCCTTCAGGAAAACAGGCGTTACAGTTAAAGAAAAAAGAAGAGGTTAGCATTACAACTTTTGCATGACATACCTTATATAATATGTAGTCTATATATCATAGGCGCCGTGAGACGTGAGTGGCACACAATCGTGGCACACAATTTGTTTCCTTCGATTTTGATAAATTTGGCAACCAAAAGTTGTCTAAAAATGTGAATAAAATAATTTCACCATACGAAGTTTGTTTGGGGACCGGTTTTTGGTACACCGGCCAATGTTTACAAAATCATATGATACATAACAATATAATTGTATTTAATATACGTGAATATTAGAATAGAAATGAAATCTTAAATTTCTATTTATTCCCTGAAATTGTTACTAAGTTCAAAATAAATGTATATGATGAAGTCTACTATAAGAATTTATATGAAAGTCAGACCTGCTTCGCGAAAACTAACAGTTCTGTGTGCTAACAGATCCCGACTGATACTAATTTACATTAACTAACTAAGTAACTAATACTCTTAACTATCTAAAAACCAACTAGCTAGCGTGTGTGCTCGTAGAGCAGCTTAAATAATAAAATATGAGCCACAGTTCATGCTGCCTAAATCTCCTCACAAAATACTGCATCGTAAAAAAACTCGTTAAAAACGGTTTATAGAATACAACGGCCACCACTTACACCAAATTAAAATACATACTATGTAAAAACTACACTGTATCACCACGTAGATAACGAAAGTGAACATAACATACTAAAGTTCATAAATTCTGATAACAAGTCAGTGTACTTGTTGATAAGGCTCTAGCTCTCACTAACACAATTAACTTTATTGTCTCTGATAAAATAACGCTTGCTATTGTCCTGCTTTATTAGTTCTTTCATCTGTTTGACAAGTCCACTGTGTAGTATTCTCTGTTCCCTTGTCCTATCCGGTGCAAGATAAACTGACTTAAAATCATCATTTGTTTTAAGTTTGTGTGCATTCCTTAGTATAATGTCCACATCGCTAGAGCTTTGTAACTGAACTTTGACTGGTCGCGTTTTCTCAGGAACTTTCTTCCCAATCCTGCATATCTCATCCGTGTCAGGAAAATGACAGCCGGCCTCAGCAAAAACTGACTTGAAAAAGTCCGGGAGAGGGTCCATCTCTAATACGTCCTCCCACTCCCCTTCTTCCGTCTCCTTCAAACCGTAGATAATCAAGTTTCTCGATCTTTCTTCTTCTTTATTCACTGATCGCACGGCTTCTTTCACAGTTTTTGTTGTCAGCTGATTGTTTTGGACGCTGTTCTTCTTGACGACATCTGCCCAACTTTTCATTTCATTCTTTACAGTTTTCTGCACCGATTCGATCTGATTCTGCTGTCTGTTTATCAGCTGCTTTTGCATGTCTATCTGTTCTGTTTTCATCTGATCTATCTTGCTGGCTGCAGACCTGCATAGCTTCATATTGCTGTCCATTAAATTTACTATGCTGCTGAGGAAATTTACAAGCGGACCCTTAAGCAGTTTTTGTAGAACACCCTGGTTGATATCAGAGAAGGACGAGACATTCACGGCTTTCATGAGCTTTCCAATCTCCGATTGCATATCCTTTTCCACTGTGTGTAGTAAGTCCACAGAGAAATTCATCAGGTTAGAGTGGTGTGTAACACTTGCAGATAACGACTGCTGATAACAAGCTAAAAACGATACAAATGCTAAGTGGTTTACTGCGAACTGTGAGGAGATTTAAACGTATACTCAGCTTACAACTTTACCAATGAGACGAGACGTCATGAGCCTCAAAATTCCTTAAAATATATAGCATATACCCAGTTAGCAAACACTATACACTACATACATACATACATACGATACCAAACAATGTATATGGGTTTTTAAACGTGGTTTTAAACGTGGCATTACTTTACTTAAAGGAAAATATATCTGCTATCTAATTTTTTTTTAATTAAAGAATAAACCTGAAGAAAGGAGAAGGAGAGGGGGGTTTGAGTAAGGTTTGAGTAAGGTAGGATAGGAAAACAACAGGATCCAGTGCCGCAGGATTTAACAATTTTTTGTATGATTCGTTTAGTTCGTCTCTTAGGTCAGATACCCTTGTCATGGTTTTTTGCAATAACACCGTGGTTAATGGTTTACTCATATTATGATTATGATTACTAAATTAACCTATTTAATATACAAACGAGGAAACGGGCAGAGCCAATAAAATGCTGATAATTGATAATACTTGTAATTATGCCAACACAATTTGGGTCGATAGACTGGCCACTATTAAAACTTTGAGTTCACTTCTCATCAAATAAAACTTGGACCGGTTTTGGTGGGTGTTGTGATGGAATATTATCGATAATGTTGCCAAATTTGTCGGTAAATCCTTAGAAAGTTAGAAAGAGTGTTCATTAATGCTTTTCATAAAAGTTAAAACGAATTCTTCATGTACTTTTTTGCGATTTTACCCGGGGAAACTCATGATTCATATAGTGAAGTTACCATGGTAACGTATCATATTCATATAGTTAAAAATATCCGCAGTTAAAACTTGCGAGTCAAAAATCAATTAAAAAACCGGTTAACTCGATGACGTCATCAACGGGTGTTGGACACCGCTTAAATAATAAAGACACTGGCAGCGGTCCACTCTACCTAATTATGGATTTTGTTCAAATATACATATTCATATAGTATCCGCAGTTAAAACTTGCGAGCGGTTCCAATTTGGACCAAAAAAGGGATAAGGAAAATTCCAACCTCCAGCAGAATACTTACAATAATTTGTTACTTTAAAAATGATATTTTTACTGACACCGCACCTTATTCTTGAAGGTCGCTCTGAAGGAGAGGAGAAGGAAAGGAAATAAGAAAGGTAAAAGAAGGAAGTCGGGAAAGTCGGGAGTCGTTCAGCAGGTTTATTTTTAGTTCAAAACATTTTCATTCAATGTCAAAGGTGACAGGAATAAAAAAAGGTATGTAGAGATTTTTAAGAATTTTGCATAAAATGTTTTGCGACAGATTGTCGTTAAGTATATATTAATGCTTTTCATACGTCTTCATGTTATGTATCCTGGGTTAAGACAGGATATTGCCCGCTTAAAATATCATTATAATATGTTAATGTATCTAGTATGTATATATATATAGATACCTTACCGGACCTTATTTGGACGGACATTACTTGAACACTGGAGGCCCTAGCGTTCATCTTAATGTCCGTTCAAACAAAGTCCGTTCATTTAATGTCCGTCCAAGTTAAAGTCCGTTGAATTTTTTTCAAAAAGTTTTCCATTTCGAACTTTTTGTCCAAAATATGACAATTTTTAATTTCAGTCAATTTCAATAGCTATCATTAGACTGAACTAGTAAACTATATCGTTGAATCAATGAAAACAAGTTATTATAAAATTTTAACGATCTAAATTGTAAATATCACATTATGGCATGATCACTATCTTGATCTAAATTTGTTTGCCCATGCAGTTGATCTACAAGGGAAAAACAGAGCAATCTCTTCCTAAATAAACATTTCCGAAAGACTTTGAGGTTATTTTTAACGAGAAACATTGGGCAAATGAATCTACAACAATAAGTTTTATCAAGAACATCATAGTGCCGTATGTTAACGACGAAAAGGTTCTCCTTGGACCTTGGTCTGCCGGAGGCACAGAAAACTTTTCTAGTATATGATGTTTTCAAGGGTCACTTGACGGGAAAAGTCAACGAAATTATGGCACTCAACAACATAGTTCATGAGCTAGTCCCCGCCAACATGACAAACTTGTTTCACATTTCAGCCTCTAGATATTACGGTAAATCGTGTTGCCAAGGACATTGTCCGACGTTGTTTTAGTTCATATTACTCAGGGGAGGTAATGAAACAAATAAGTGCTGGGAAAGCTTTACCGTCCACGTGATGTTAAGGTTAACCTAGAGTTGTCTAAGATAAAATTAAAACCACTTCACACCGAATGGCTTGTAAAAGTTTACACTGAAATGCAGGACCCAGGTAGTTTGATAAAAAAAGGTTTCCAAAAAGCGGGTACTATCACTGATGCTTTAAGCATGGAATATTTAATGCACGAAAACCAATTTGATGAAGATGATATGTGATATTAGACAATAATCGTGTACACATATTTTGATGGTTTTGATTGCCTTCTTATAGCGTTCATATTAATGTCCGTTCATAATTATGTCCGTTCAAGTAATGTCCGTCCAGATAAGGTCCGATAAGGTAGACGCTTGGCAGTCAATTATAGGTTACATTCAATTGTGTCCGTAGATTCAAAAGCTTTAAAGATACAGCCATTTCGGACCACAAATCTTGAAGTTGAAGATAATTATTTAGACTTCAGTTTATATTATATGAAAAAAAGTAACTTAATAACTTTTAAAATCAATTTTACGCCATTAAGAAGCAATTTAGTTAAAAATTTGAGGTCTTATTGAAGTTTGATAATTGTTCAAGCATTCTGAAAATTTACCGGAAAGTTTTATTTGTTCGGTCCTTCATAAGGATATTCGCTATTGAAGTTTATAGTGCTTTTTTGAAGAATAATTTTATAAAAGCACCCATTTTGTGATTTAGTATTCTCTGGTGTTGGGCCATCCCTTAGGTTGTGGAGCTCAGTTCTCCTTCCTATAGGTCTATATTGTGCATTAGGCTAGTTTTAAAGTTGAAAATCAAAAAGTTGCACACGTGGGTAAAGATTGATAGAAAATTTCTAAAATCACTGAAAATTGCTAATTTCACGATTTTCATCAACTTTGAAGTCCCGTTGTGATGTAAGTTCTTTATGAAATCTTTTGAAACTCTGCATGCTTATCGATCTATATAAAAATAATCAATATGCAAAAATATTTACGGTGATTCAATATTGTATGAGCACGCAACTAACGTTCGCTCAACGTTTGCACGTGCGAAAGGTGAGAATGTTGCTCACTCGTGACTTCGAATAGATTATGCTTTCCAACTTGAATGATTATAAAGTGGCATATTCAGTCAATCAGTCAGTGATCGACAAATATACTAACCTAAACAGTAAACACAAGGAAATGTTTTCAAAGGTAAAATTTCGAAATTGTTGAAATTACCTCCTTATTAATGAAGTTATCGGTTTATATTTCGACTTTGTAAAGTACCCTGACATTAATCAAAAAGAGATGATATTTGACCAAAACCCATAATCATGGGTAATCAGTGAAATTGGTCGCTCACTCGTCGCTCATAGTTGCACAGCATAAAATTTTGTATGACATACATTTATTTTTATTTTCCGTCAGTTCGCGCTATAGTTAGTGTTTCCAATTACCATGTCAAATTTTCACGTCCAATTGTAGCCATAGATGAGCGTTATTAACGAAATTGAGTTCCTTTTTTAACATTTGTCCTAATCTGAAATATATATGGATTTTATAATTACCAGGATGTCATACTGCACAAATTAAGAAATAAATTACTTGGAACTATGTACACCAAAAGAAACCAGTTAATTGCGAAAAATGTCCAGTATAAAGTTTCTCTCGTTTTTCTTTGAAACCTATCCCAGGTTTAATGATACCAAGCCATGGTCCAAGCCATCACGCTATGAAAATCACAGATTAATAAACGGTGCATTGATAATTGATAAACATCATGATTTATTATCTTACAGTCTTACGTAGAGACAGAGTTCTTTCAATGTCCTGTTGTGCGTAGTGTTTTCTTCCTTCTCCCTTAGTATATAATATCAGCGATAATTATGAGCGCTGAGTGCTTTATTTTAAGATGCTACAAGAGTAACCAAAACATAAATTGTTCTGCTCTTATTGCAAAACTTAACAATTAACATGATATTTACTTTAACTTAGTGCTATAAACTGGTCAACATTGAATATTTGTATATCTTTCAATATAATTATTATAAAGCTCTAGCAACAAATAATCCTCACCAATTTCAGAACACAACCGATGGCCTTGCTGATTTAGGAAACGACGTTCTTGCTTTAGTAGGAAGAAGGGAAGAACTAGAGACAAGAGGGAGAAACAAGGGAGAATAAATAATGCGGTAACTATAATTACTAACTATAGCTTTTGAGTATAACTAACGGGCTTTTTAAAGATCTTGAAATCTAAAACTTGGAAATGCTCTATTAAAGATTTATTAACCATACCACAGGGTAGGTTTCATTTCATCCGTTTCAATAATTCTTAATTTTGAGATTTTAACAAGAATTGTAAAACTATATTTTTAGGAGGTAACGAAAAGTCAGAATAAAAAAATATTTTTCAGAATACAAGTTACCTTTATTTGGCTAATTGGACACCATTGTGCTGATGGGACGATTCAAAAAGGACTGTATAGCGATACCGGACATTATAACAAAATAATACATTAAAAACTAGACCACATTTGAATTATCTTAAATATACATATTTTGGATGAACATAATATATGTATATCAGGTTTAAACGAGAATTGCGCCGGTTAGCGGACGCTAGATTTCCATCGACCGTACTCGTAGGCATTGCCTTTTAAAATTTAAAATTACAATTTACAAAATCCATGTGAAGAAATGGTTGTTTACAAGTCTACCTAAGTTGTTAGATTAAATAAAATGGTAGTCGTGAAATCCGTAGTAGGTTACCGTTATGTAACTCATAATAACATTTATGGTCCCCGTCCATTTCGTATAACAAATCAATCAGAGCCTAACAATGTTTGACATGACTTTAACATTTAACACTAAACATTAAACCTACGTAAAACGGGAATGAATTTATATGTAAATCTGTTTTAAAACAACATATCAAAAATAAATCATTGAAATTACATACGCTGACCGTAACTTCCAGTCAGCTTGGCGCCGCGCATTTGAAAATTTAATTCAATCGTCGATTCGTGCAAATGTATGCGGAGGGTAACCGTGGCGACGATACCATTACTGACCTGCGCGTGGAGGATATGCATTAAAATGGCTATGCAGAGGGTAATGCATGTTTTCCTTTGTGACACGACTCACCTGACACGAAAAACCTACCTACCTACTATACCCATTCTCAAATCCTACCACTTCTAACCATCTTATGATTTTTTGAAAAGTCGATGGAAAAAATATGGGTTCATAATTTTATTAGGCATGCCTGTGAGTTCCTTTCAATGTTTTTGAAGATATGATTTATTAACATTTATTATTAGTATTACTTTTAGCTTCATTATAATCGTAATGTATAATATTGTTTCGACTATCGATCACAATTCCGGTGCTGGCGATCGCTGATCACTCCACAAAATCAAATTTGTTGGTCCTTGGTCAGTACTCAGTAGGGGTCGTTCACATATTACGTAATCACTGAAGGGAAGGGAGGGGGTTTTTATATGCTATTGCTACCTTATCGGACCTTATTTGGACGGACATTACTTGAACCTTAATGTCCGTTCAAATAAAGTCCGTTCAATTAATGTACGTCCAAATTAAAGTCCGTTGAATTTTTCTCAACAATTTTCCCATTTCGAACTATCGGTCCAAAATATGACAACTTTTTAATTTCAGTCAATTTCAATAGCTATCATTAAACTAAACTATATCGTTGAATCAATAAAAACAAGGTATTATAAAATTTTAACAATCTGAATTGTAAATATCACATTATTGCATGATCACTATCTTGAAGTTGATCTTCGGCTTCTTCTACCTCCACATTTTCTCTTACAACTGGTTATCTGTCCAACTCGTAGTCGTACCGGGCAATGAACGATCCCAACTGCTCTACTAGAGAGATACTTGAATGCCTAAAGTACAGCTTAAGCTTTATCTCTAGCTCCCCACTTGGTATAGGCGACCTTCGGGGCTTCGGTGGCTTATATATTATGTCAGCTACGATACCTTCTACCATACCACCCATCTGATCGATAAAGTAGAAGACAAACCGGGATATCTCCCTGCACGAAAACCCATTTGATAAAGATGATATCTGATATTAGATAATGATCATGTACACATATTTTAACATTTTTTCCGTTCACCCTTTTGTAAAAAGGCAATAGTGAAAGGTTACAAATGGACGTTTTTGCACAAAAACGTGGATTTTGGAGATTGCGGTAGGTGGGTCAAGCATATGTCGTGTTCCTTACTTACTTTCGTTCGTTACCATGACAACTAGCGCGCAGTGCAGCGCGCGAGTATTGCTTGCGGAGATTTGATGTATATAGCTAGCCTGTCAATGAATTTTATTTCAAAATTCAAATAAACTTTACATCAATGTATTACAGTTATATTCAATAGAAAAGACCACAATATCTCCTGTGAGGCAAAAAAATGGAAAAAGAGAGCTAGAAAAATATTCATGAGACTCAACACTACCAGACTGCAGCTGGAGTGAGAAACATTATGTAAACATCAAAGTAAAATGTATTTCGGCTGAACCAAAACACGGTGGTAAAACCATAATTACATTGGTGCCGACACTGCATAAAATCATTAATAAATAATCAAGAGAACAAATTAAAATGTATACGATACCTTCTTGCTACTACTCCACAAACTTACACGACATAACAACTGAACAACATAACATAATTATATATTATAATATACCAATCTATCTAACCACTCAATGGACCTTCACGTACGTACTGCGTGACGCGCTTGTTTCATAGAAGAAAAAACGGCGCGTTCTACTGCAGGTGCGAATAAATTTAAATAAAATATATAATATTCCAAGATGGGCCGTCTAATCAGGTCAGCATACGTCAGAAGACCAGAGAAATTCAGTTAGCTTTGTTTTGAAAATAGAAATTTTCTCAGTCTGTCTAACATAGGCTGGCAATGCATTCCACAGAAGCATTGTTCTATAAAAGAAGCTGTTTCTGAAACTATCGCAGTTCGGTACAATAGAGCAGGTATATGTGCTGGTGTCAAGTCCTTCAATTACTGACACCGTGCTCCTTGTGTACCTCATTGTTCCAGCTTTAACAACAGTAATATATTCAGGTAGAGATATACTTACCAAATCATTTACTATTTTATAGAAGAGCGTAATTGAATTATGGATGAACTTAGATCTAATCGGTAAAATTTTAAGCTCCTTCTGCTTCTCATAGAATACAATATCACTATAATGATCAAACTGTTGTCCATTGATCCATTTGATCGCTCTTTTCTGGATTGCCTCAAACTTCGACATGTGTGTCGATCGCTGAGGACACCATATAACTGAGCAATGTTCAAAGATTGATCTTACAATGGTAAGGTAGAAAGCCCTCTTTTGGCGTTTATCAATGGTAAAATGACAGGTTCTCTTTAAGAGCCCAAGCTTCGAGCTTGCTTTAGATATCAATTGATCACAATGTGCACCCCACAGAAACCTGTTGGTCATCATTACACCAAGATCTGTATGGGATGCCACATTATCAATTATGAATTCTTTAAGAATATAACAATAAATATTAAAAGAAAGATTGTCTAATACATTTTTTTGCAGAGTTACAGATAACACCTTACACTTTGAAGGGTGAAAAGTCATTTTGTTATCGATTGACCAGGCAAACAACCTGTCCATATCTCCTTGGAGAATATAGTGGTCTTCAAAGCATTCGATGACCCTCCAAATTTTGGTGTCATCTGCATACAATGCTACATTTGCATCCTCCGAAACACACGAGAACATGTCGTTGATGAATAGAACAAACAGAAGTGGTCCCAGAATAGATCCCTGGGGCACTCCTGATTGCACGGGAAGCGTGCTTGAGACAGCTCCGCCTACAACAACCTGCTGTCGTCTGTCTTGTAAATACGACTTCAAAAATCTAAGCATCAGACCATCAATAGCATATAAATTTTTTAGCTTGCGAAGGATTAAGTCATGTGATACACTGTCAAATGCCTTAGCAAAATCAAAATAAACAATGTCGGATCTTGACTTATTGTTCAGGGGCCAGTGCAAGGTTTCTGTGAATGGGACCATCTGGGTAGTCCAACTCCAAGACATTTCCATTCACAAAACCGTGTTGTCTACAGTCGACCCACTGGACTTGAGATTTTAAACTGTCTCAAAAAATTGAAGAACCACAAAAGTGCTGGGATTGACGAAATCTCTAATGAGCAGTTAAAGTATGGGGCAAGCGGTCTTGTGGATAGGATGGAGAAATTGTTCTCTAAAGTTTGGAATTCAGAAGCAGTGCCTGACGACTGGTTGAAAGGCATCGTGATAATTGTACCAAAGAAGGGTGATACCTCTCATTGCTCCAATAATAGGGGGATCACTTTAAGATCTACAGCATCGAAACTGTATCAAATCATCATTTTACAACGCATGAGTGACGGTTTAGAAAGTTTGCTACGAGACAATCAGTGTGGGTTCAGAAAGAACAGATCATGCATTGATCAGATTTATTCACTCCGCACTATTATACATAACTGCATTGAATATAATCTCCCCCTGTATGTAAATTTTGTGGACTTCAAGGCAGCTTTTGATTCTATCGACAGGAATTATATTTGGAAAGCTTTCAGTCATTATGGCCTGCCATGTAAATACATTCGAATAATACAGGCATTCTTTAATGGAACTGTCAGTGCTGTTAGACACAATGGTGAACTATCAGAATGGTTTGAAGTAAGTTCAGGCAGTGGCCAAGGAGACATTCAGGGTCCCCCACTTTTTAATGTCTGCCTCAATGTGGCTGCTGAGAGAACAGAAAGCAACAAAGTGGTGTCCCACGTAGCGGTTCTTCAAAGATCTATCAGTCCGCTTGTTGATGATATCACTGTGTTAGATACAGACTATGCAGATGACATGGCTGTACTGGATAACAGCGAGGAAGGTCTTCAAGAAACAACTGACCTTTTGTGTATGTATGGTGCCCAGGGAGGTCTCAGAATCAATGGTAAAAAGACTGAGGCTATGGTCATTGGTAAAGCAACCTCTCAACGGCCATACACGAAAGAAGCCACAGTGAACATCACTGTTAAAGACACGCCAGTGCAGCAAGTTAGTGACTTTACGTACTTAGGTACAATTATTTCCAGCGACGGTTCTATCGACCGTGAGCTGTCAGCTAGGATTCAGAAAGCTTCCGGAGCCTTCAATCAACTGAGTAATATATGGAAAAACCGCAACATCCAGTCTTATACAAAGATCAGGATTTATAAGGCAGCAGTTTTGACAATATTGTTATATGGTAGTGAGGTTTGGAACACAACCAAAAAGCAGCTACATCGCTTTGAGGTGTTCCATCAGCGTTGCTTGAGGAGAATACTTAGGATAAGATGGCTCGATCGGGTTAGAAACACTGAAGTGCTGGAGCGTGCAAAGATAAATCCAGTAGAGACGTTCATAGGAGCAAACCGCCTGCGTTGGTTTGGCCATGTCACCAGAATGCCAGACACTAGGCTTCCTAAGTACCTGCTTAACTGGACCCCTGCGCATGGGAGAAGATCTAGGGGCCGTCCAAGAAAGAACTGGATGAAATGTTTGCTGGAAGATGCTGCAGCGTTTACAGGAAACACTGACATAGACCTAGAAGGAGCGAGCGAGATGGCTAGTGACCGAAAACTTTGGAGGGAGATGATACGTCACAAACGGGAGTTCATTGGTGCAGGCCACTCGAATGATTGAGGAGACCTAATCAAGTACAAGTAAGTAGTAAGTACTTATACCGATCTCAGTAACCCAACGGATTAAACCATGTTGAGATCCATTGAGGATAGCTTTACAAAGAAGAGGATCAGTAGATAAAATTGTAGATAAAAAAGTGTTTCTCTCACTCACTTTCGATAAGACAAAAAGTGAGTCGGCGATTAGAACAATATAAATGGAAAAGACAACTACTTTTCATAATAATATAATGATTTATTTTATAAGGTTACTTATGAATTTATTCGAGAAATAATCTGGAAGTATTATCGGCATCTTTTCACACATATATGACCGACGAGCACGTACACAGTAGCCAAGCTCATGAGAACTGATAAAATGTTGAAATTAGGGAATAGTTAAACACCATTGCGAGTAGGTAAATTTGCTAGGGGCCTGGAGGGGGTTATTTAAAACATATAAGTGATACGAAAAGATTGTATTAGCAGGAGCTATCAAAATACATGTGTAAATCGTCTTCAGCTAGTTTGCTAGTTTAAACATGATATAGTTGCTTTTATTAGCAATTTGTGTCCAACTGCAACAGCTTATACTACTGATTCACGGTCCTTGGAAACTTTTCT